ATGATCACTCTATCTGGGCTCTCCGGCTTTCTCTCTGCTTCTCTGCTCTTCCATTCGTTCTGCTGCTTCTTGGCTTCTCCTGGCGTCCCGTGATACCGTCCTTAAAAGCCCAGTCTTAGCCCAGGTGAATCTCATCTACCTATGCCCACACCCTACTCCAGGTGCCCGCCATCAGGCATGCATTCAGGACCGCAAGGATCCATCATCTATCCTGATGGCGGGAGGGCAGAAAAACCTGACATTTTTCCTTACCCTACACTGGCCTTTTACAGGAAAGGTCTACTGACCCCAAGGGAAAAAAGGACAGGCTATTTGTCATGCCCATTTTTTGATCAAGTATAGATAACCATCATACACATACCTGGTCAAAAGATGGGGAATGAAAAGTCTATAGGGGCCACTGAAATCCAGTCAGGCAAATCCTGGAACTTCCTTCATTAAGACTCAGCCCTATTATCCATCAGGAAATGACTCAATTTCTCTAGACTCACTACCCTCTAGGTTGAGCCCTCTGAGTCATTCGTTCTTTCTTTTCCTGCAAGGTAGCACATTTCATTAGCTTAGCAGTCTTTTCAATTTGCTTCCTGCTGTAGAAATTTGGGGTAACCCTTCTTTTTCATTGTATGCTGTCTTCTTTAATCCAAGGGACCTTAAAATATAATGCTCTTAAAGATTGTGTGTCTGCTAGGAGTCTTACTGGAGTTCTTTCCATTAAACAAAACTTCAACTAAATAGGTACCAGTCACACCGTTAAGACTTCAGCTGGCCTTTCATTTGACTGAAAAGTACTACAAGGCAGCACCTTAGATCTTTCCTAACTATTAAAAACAGAATTTTACAACCACGCCCTCAGCTTCATCCTTAAACCAAGTTTTCCTGGGGCTCCCTGGTGGTGCAAGGGGTAAGCACAGCACTGTGAAGCGATCCAGCAGGCCAGGGAGCTACCCACATGGTGCAGCAGACCTCTCCTGTCTCACCCACTGCTCCCCTCAGCAGTATATTTCAGTCTGCCTGTTCTGTTCCCCACTCTGTCTCTAGTGAATCCTCTCACCTCCTGCATCTTTGGTCTGTACCCCAGTTCTTGTATACATAAATAAATGTTAAAAAAAATAAACCCCAAATTTTCCTGATAATGGCTTGGATTTGATCTTCCTTAAGAAGGGATTTCTTAAATTCTAGCATCACTGGCTGTCTAGAGAGATCAACAATGACTGAAACTTCACATCACAGCTGTTTTAGTTTATCAGACTTTTCTTTAGCACACTTGCTCCTCTCATATCGTAGCAAAAATAAACCAGGGGGCACCTTCAATTCTCTGTTCAAAAATTTCCCTAGCTACTGGGCCACTTAGGTCATTATGTACATGGTCTAGTTTCTATATCACTAGAGGTTACTAAAATTTCTGCTACTCAAAATGCAGGTATATGAATAAAATACAGTCTAAGAAAAAGGACCCTACCCTAGGTAGCCATTGCTATAACTTTAAAACACTAACATATTAATTTTCCTAAAGACTCAAGTAAACTTAGGGACACTAATCACATTCCTGCTGAATTTCTATTAACAGGTAAGTCAGAAACACAAAACACCTGTTTTATCAGCATCTGGATAACCACAAGAGCTTGCAAAAATGTGCTAAAACAACTAAAAATAACAACAGGAAACTGGAAACAATAGCATGAACTGTCATGCTGAACAGCAGAAACCCACTTCTGAGTCAAGACTTTTATAAAAACCTTACCCCGAGCCCTAAGATTTGAGATGGTTTCTTTGGAACATAAATCCGGCCATCTCCTCAGAATACAGGTTTCTTGAATTAACCTAGCTTTCCTAACTATACTTCTTGTCTCTTATGTTTGGCTTCCAAGTGCCAAGTGGCCAACCTATGTCTCAGCCTTACTACTACATTACAAATACTCCTTCCCCCTCTTCCCTACCCTTTCCAGTAAAACTGTCGTAACATTCCTTTAACACTTTGCTCTTTCACTCAAATTGTCCTCAAATTTCATCCACCTTTCACCCACTGACAAGTTCCAAAGCCATGCCTACTTTAAAAAATATTTGTTATGGCATCATACAACTTCTGGTACCAGTATCTGGATGGGTTATCTATTGTGTAACAATTATCTAAATCTTATGAGCTTAAAACATCATTTGTTACCTAACACAGTTTTTCAAAGTCAGGAATCCAGGTTACTAACGAGGTTCTGCACTAAATGTTAGCCTCAGCCAGGACTACATTCATGTCTGAAGTTTTGAGTAGGGTCTGGAAGAACCACTTCCAAGTAGTCATGTGGCTACTGGCTAGAAGTTTCAGTTACTTGCTACATGGGTCTCTTCATAGGGATGCTCACAATAAGGCTAACTTCTTCCAGTGCAGCAAGCAGAAAGAGAATGCAATAAAGTTGAAAACTATAACATCTTTTATAACCTAGTGTAAAAATAACATTCTTCTCTCTTCTACTGGCTACATAGACAAATTCTGGTATAATAGGGAAGAAGACTGAATACACAGGGCATGAATACCAGGATGTAGTGGGGGTCATCTTGGAGATTGGAAACCAAAAATGGTTTGGCAATACTAGGCATTGGATTGTAGTTTAACAGCATCCAAGTAAAGATGGAAAAAAAATGGGTGACCAAAGGGGAACTTTCTTCACAAAGTCTTCCTTTACAAGGAGGTAAAATGCATTGCTCAGTAAATCCTTTAACAAACTTCTGCAGGGGCCTCCCTGGGGGCCTAGGGTTAAGTCTCAGTGCTATCACTGCTACAGCCTTAGTTTCATCCCGGGCCAGGGAGCCGACCCACACGGCGCAGCAGACCTCTCTTGTGTCGCCCGCTGCTCCCTCAGTAATGTATTCCAGTAAATCTGCCTGTTCTGCTCCCCACTCTGTCTCTAGTGAATCCTCTCACCAACCTCCAAACCCACTCCACACCACTGGCCTACTCCCTAATTCTTCTATGCAAAAAAAAAAAATTTATATGAAAAACAAGCTTCTGTATCACACTGGCCTCAACAGGATAAAATTGCTACCCCTAAATGCAAAGGATTCTAGATAAATGAGTATCTGGCATTTTCAGCCTCAATCATGGGAGGTAAGCAGGTAAAGCAGAAGTTTAACATTACTTTTATATAATCAACCCTCTGCCACAAGATTCTTCTTAAAAAAGATAGTAGATTAAAAAAATGGTGATTACAACTACATTCTTTTGAAGCCATATTCTAAACTCCAGAAATTTAAATGGTTTACCACAAAGTTTTTAAGTTTATACAAATTTATGATCTACATTAATGTTCATCAATATAACATAATATCAAAGCATGTTCATATATACATTCTTTATGAAAGACTTGAATGGAATATAACCACATGGCTAGCCACAGATTTTGGGGTATGTTCTTTTTTTTTGGGGGGGGTGTTCTTTTTTACAGTGTAAACCTCTCAAGACTTATGGACATTTTCTTGTGATTGTTAGGTACCTAATATACCCTCGTCCATGACCAACTTATATCTCACATGGGAGACTTGTTTTTGAGGTGGAAGTGCTCTAGTAACTTTCAAACGCTTGCCATGCAAGTTTGTGCCTTTTGGCTTCTAATGTTTCCTCAGCACATTAGCTGTTAACTTTAGTGGACATTTCTGCTTATTACACAGCAAACAGGATCTAGACATGGCAGTTCCTTTTACCCAATGCTCAAGACTGAAAAATGCAAGGCAAGTCCTGGAACCCAAATTTCCTACCCATGGATTAAAACAGAACAGCACCTCAAGGTGGAAGAGACCCTTACCCAGATTATGAGTTGGAAAATATGCTATAAAATAGCACATAAAAACACAATACAAATGAAACACATCCAAACCTCACTTTTCAGAAAAGTAAGGTACTAGGATAAACAAAAACCAATGGATTAATCAACATTATAAACAAAAGTCTTAAAGCCAAAAAGAGTTGCCCAAAAAGGTTTGGGATAGAAATCCTACATTACTCAACCAAGACGAAGCAACAACTTTTGCAAACAAAGTCTTAATAGACAATTAGGAGACACTGAAAATTAACTTCAGTAACACTGGAGAAGGGCATTTACTGGGGGAAAAAAAGATACTGCTGCCCTCTCTCTGGAAAAGAGATTAGGGGATTAAGTCTTCCCGGAATAGACCCTTACAGAAAAAAATCTTAGTTATAAACATCAAAAATAACTTCTACCCAATCTTGAGAGCCCATCCCAGAAAATAAACCTCTTGCCAAAGACACAGGTAGATTTTTGCTCCTCTATGTCATAAATTATGAAAGTCAAATACATAGAGTTAAAAAATAAAAACAAAAAATGTTTTAAATATTTGATATTCATGTTATAAAACATACATAATGTCAAGAATATAGCCAGCTTACATAATCAATTTCTTAAATTGAGAAATATATACACTATATCAATATTTAGATTTTTTTATAGGTTCATCTATTCATTTTGAAGTTTCTTTTTTTTTTAAAGATTTATTTATTCATTCATACAAGCACTGGGTACAGTCAGAAGCATGGGAGGGTGAGAGAATTCACCAGAGCCAGAGCGGGGAACAGAACAGGCAGAAGGACCGAAGTACACTGCTGAGGGGAGCAGCGGGCGGCAGGAGAGGTCTGCACGCCATGTGGGACCCTCCTCCGGTGGCCGGGGAGCAGCCGGGGATCAAACCAGTGCTGCAGAGGCTGCGGGCAGCTTCGCAACCCAGCGCTCAACCGCTGCGCCACCGGGGAGGCCCTCATTTTGAAGTTTTTTAAAAAAAAATTTAATCTAATATTTTATACACTCAATGGAGGGAGGGATTAAAGATCTCATCTATCATATTGCCAAAAATGGAAATCTACTGAGTATTTCTGCAGTTGCTTTGTAAAATTCAAACCTGGATATCATATTCATTCCTAATGAATTTTAATTGCATGTTACTGTAACCCATCCGTCTGTCAAGAGCATTTATAATCTTGAGTCTTTATATTAGCTTACCTTAGAAGTTGTGTATCATCTGTAAATTTGTTTCCACTTTCTCCAAAGTCACAGATCAACACAGTTTCTGATTTAAAAAAAAAACACAAAAAACCCTTCAAGATTAACTTTTAAAATCTTTATAGCAAGTCAAGATATTATTACCAGGTTTACAGAATTATAAACTAAATTTCCATCATAATCATAGAAACAGGAAAATTCCCTTCCTTATCCAGTTGTTTCAAGTGGGAGACCTTTTAAAAAGTAGTACTGAACTGAGTGAAAATATTTTAGTATCAGGTGAAACCACTAGTATGAAAGGATAACTCGGTGTTCCATGAGGACATAGGAGGAAAACAACTTACTTAAACTAGGGTCTTAAAGGCCAATTTTTAAAAATGGCTGGGCAAAATTTAGAAGGGCTTTGAAGCGTCACAGAGGGAAGTTTTATTTTTTTCTTTTTTGCTTTTAATAGCATCATGGAAATTCATGCCCACCAGATTTCCTACCTATTCTGCTCTGTCATAAATTTAGCTCGAATCTCTTACTAATTTCAGTAATGGCAATGTCTGTAAAATTTTAATCTCCATATCTATATAAAGATATGTGTGCTTGCATTTCCCCATTAGAAATAAGAGAAAACTTACACTTTTTTCCTTTAACACATTACTCTTGCATGAAGAAGGTATAAAACACTGACTACAGGTCAGCATCTTTATTTACTTTCTGAGCAGCAAGTACAGGTTGAAATTGAACATTTAGTTCCTGGTGTTCTTCTAATATTTGATGTACATCCTGCAATAACATAGTAGAAAAAGCAGAGTCTTTAGAATCATATAGATCAGGGTTTAAAAGTCAACCTCGCATTTAGTAATTGTCTAACCTGAAGCAAACTACTTAACTTCTCTATACCTCTTGGGAAAATATCAAGGCAATCAAGGGTAGGGCCTCCCTGATGGCGCAAGGGGTTAAGATGCAACCTATGAAGCTGTCCAAAGCCACTGCAGCACGAGTTTGATCCCTGGCCAGCCATTACCTACATGGTGCAGCAGACCTCTCCTGACTCGCCCGCTGCTCCCCTTAGCAGTGTATTTCAGTCAATCTGCCTGTTCTGTTCCCCACTCTGACTCTGGTGAATCCTCTTACTCTCAAAACCTCTGGCCTGTACTCCAGTTCTTGTATGTATAAATAAATCTTTAAAAAAAAAAAAGACTATCAAAGGTACTTTAAGGACCAAAAGATATAGCATATATACATTTATGTAGTGCTTAACACAATGCCTGATCTATAACATGACTAAAAATAGCTGTCCTGTGTAATTTCATACTTCACGTCCCCTGTTCATTCTGTCAAAGGACTTTTCACACTAAAATCTCTTAACTAATAGCCTTGACAAATTTCTATGGTTTTGTTCAACAATCATCAAAATTTTATTATATTTATTTTTCCAACAATATACATATACTTTTAAAATAGTGATACTACACTACTAGTGAATATACCCCACTAAGAAATTACAGTCCAAAATCTACTTTTTAAAGTCTGTTATTTTGGCCTACTAAATGGAACTGCATGATGCGAAGGGCAGAGCTACAGGTTTAACAGAAGGAGCTTAGGCACCTGACAACTATGTGTAGCAATGATACCTGATCGGCTCTTACTTTTATATATAGGAAAGAAAGAAACTTTTAGTTAAAAAAAATGAAAGAGGTCACAATTTTTCAGTTTCCCTATATGGCACTCAGAAGATGCCTATATACTATATAGTTGAACATAGGAAACATCAAAGAGGGAGAGTTACATACTAATTAGTCTCATTGCCCAAAAAACTGGAAAAAAAAGCAAATGTTCAACAGACCAGATCTTGACAGTATTAGGGCTCACTTGCAAAGAAACAATAGCTTAAACAACAGGAACAAATGAGCTTATAAATCAGTAATGTATTTCGATTCCTCCATCTTAAAAAAGCCAAATACATAATATTTCAGTATTATGTTCCACATGTTTAAATTTCACTAGCATTTTTAGTGGTTAATGGAAACCCTCATCATTCAGGCATTCAATCAATTTCACCGCATAACTGAACAACAAACTACAGTAGTCATTTAGATTTTATATACAGTTGTGTATTTTCTTTATTCAGTGTTTAAGTTATTCCCATAAATGGCACATATAGACTAAAGAATGATGGTGAAATACAATGAATTTACAAGGAATACAGAAATATTTCTGCAAATTAATCTCAAAATGTTCCCCCAAATTGACATTTATAGAATCAAAGTTATTACAAAGCAAAAAGTAAGGTATTTCTAATACTTATAAAAAGAGGAAAGAAATACAATTTGGGAGGATGGGGAGGTGGTGAGGAACCTATGATAGTTTTAATGGCTTTTTTTTATAGCAAAGTACCTAAATTAACTAGGTTTTCAAAATAACAAACACAAGAACCAAACAAGTTCTGAGAAGTGTTTGAATTTTTAATGAATTAGATCTTAATTTATATTGCCACAAAACATCACATTTATTTAAAGTTGTAATTTTTTTCTTTTATAATCAGTTTGCAGCCCTTCATAATGAGAAAAATCTTAATTTGCATGAGATTTCAATGACAATCTCATACCAATCTAAGTAAAAAATCATTTTTACTTATTTAACATTTTCACACAAAAATGACATGAAATTTTCTAAGGATCTTCTTAAGTTTATATGTTGTAAAATATACAGAATTCAAAGAAAAACCTGAGGATACCTAACTTTAAAAGATAACAGCGTTATCAAACTATCACCAGCCACTGCAGCAGCCAGGAGCTTACACCCGCTCCCCGGCTTGGCTGCACCGTCCCCACCCTGCGGCGCTGCGGAACTCTTCTGTCTTGCCCACTGCTCCCCTCATTTCAGAAGATCTGCCTTTTCTGCTCCCCATTTTCTCTCTGGTGAATCCTCTCACATCCCCCTCCCACACCTTTGGCCTACACCCCAGTTCCTGCATGCATAAATAATCTTTTTTAAAAAAATTACCTTCTTAGAATTTATAAAATATACTCATGTAATACAGTAAATTTAAAGTTACAGTATTTTTTCACTAAGTTATGTTAAAAAGAAACTAAATTTCCTCTAGCAGAAGAGAGCTAAGGTACTGATGTTGTTTGGTAGATTGCCATGTTTTCAAGAGAACAGTGGCAAATAGAGTACTACTTGAGGGCTCATCTTAATTATCTAAATTTCTGTATGGTAACATCTCATAAACAGACTTCTCAAAAAAGACAATGAAATGATCCTTATTTGTACAAATAACCTGGAAGCAAGAAATAAATTTACTCTAAACTGTAAATCAAGTTTTCCAGAAAGCAGGTTAAAAAACTTTCAGTTAGGTTTTTAAAAAAGCCTATCTTTACCTCCTAATAGTGCATTCTTTTACCCACTGAACATCTATACTGTTGAATACATGGCAGGCACTACTATATGTGAAGCCTCTACAAAAGTTTTAGCCAACATTTATTGAGCAACTACTATGTAATCATTGGTGTTTCTTGGCCACTGATCTACTTTATGATAGCTAGTATATATACTAGGCAAGTACCACAGCCATCAATTCACTATTAATTTGATACTTGAACTCCTACAAGTTAGATTTTATAAGACTCTTGGATGAAAAACTTTTAAATTAATTCTTAATTATTCAATTATTTCACTGTTGTATTCCTTGGTATTCCTGCCACAAAAATATCTACATGGTACTGTTAACTTGGCTGGGTCATCGACTAACCCTGAATAACCGAAAACTAAACTCAAACAACAAAGGATAAGTATCTTTACTTTCTTCTCATGCGTGTCAAAATCGATCGTTAATCACAAAACTTCAGCCTTTTATCGGCTAGGTTCCCCCTCAAATGAAAGACAACACATACTTTCTACTTGGACACTTAAAAATGAAAAGGAGATAAAGGAGATAATTCTGGTCTCCTTTCTTCCAGCCCCGCAAAGAGCACATAAGTTAAGATGCTTTCCCTTACGAAAGCCTCCTCTTTTCCCAGGACGAAGCAACCAAGTATCAAGGCACACCTGCAGATTTCTAAATGTTCAACAGGTCGTACCCAGGGAAATAAACAATTGACAAAATTTTCCGTCCACTTTCACTGTTTCTGCAAAGATCACCACTTTCTAGCTTTTAAAAACCATGCAGGAATGCGGGGTGCGCATTATTTAAAACTGCTCGAAAGCAGAGCGTGACGCCCGCTACCACCAAAAGCTGACCTTAGTCAGCAACTACCCAAAGGAGCAAACAATTCAACTGCCGCTAAATTTCCGCTCCCGGCAAACGACAGAAAAGAAGATGTCTCTTTCGAACCTGAGGACAGTGGTGGGGACTCTCCCTCTCTCCCCTTCCATTTCCTGCCACGTTCCTTTCTCAGTCAGGCAGTCCATTAGCCAACCTCCAGATCAGAATCTTTCTGAGACAAACATTGTTGGAATAGCTCCCCGGGGCCCAAGGACTCAGGATTTAGACATCCCAGTCTCCGCCAAGCCCCCACAATGAAGAACAAAGCAAAGTCTGGGATCCCCACCAGCCATTCTCAAGCTCCTTAGCCAGGGGTTGAGTCGGGGGCCAGGAAATCTTTCCCTTCTCAGGGAAATGGGAAGTGAGAAGACGCCGGGTCGGTTTCCTCAGGCCCCTCCTTTCCTCTAAAGCTTCCTCAGGACCCCTCCACACCTACAACCAAACCACTAAGTAATCTTTCTACCGCCATGAAGCCACACACAACATGGCAGCGAGACACCTACCGGAGGAAACAGCTGCGCCACCACTCCAGCGACGCCGACCTCTCGACTGGGGGCATCCCCATTGGCCCAGCCAGAGAGCGCGAGACTACACGGGAGCGCTGACAACCAATCACAAGGCGGCGCGCTCGGGTGCCGCCGCGTTGCGGGCGGTACGCGCGCGGAGCCTCTGAGGCGTGGACTCTGTGGGATGTGCGACCAATGGGCTCTCGGCCAGGTGGTGGGGGCCTGTGGTGTCCTCTTGTTTGGGTTTGGCCTTAGGTAGGCCTCGGCGTTACCTATTGGGCGGTGCTCTCTCCCCGAGGCGCGGTGGGACAGTTGTTGCTGAGGTGAGGTCTGGTAAATGGTCAAGTGCTACTTCCCGTTCAGGAGACTCCGGGGCCCGGAGGGCCTCTGTGGCGTGGTGTCGGAGAGAAGCCCGACCCGCGCGGGGGGGTCCAGCCTTGTCAGCGGAGCGGGAGGCGCGCCGCGTTCAGGTTTGGCGGGCGGCTTGGGAAACGCAGTGCAGCCGAGGCACGGCCGCGGGTGGCCGCCGACAGCTCCTCCCCGAGGACCCAGGAACACGGTGGAGCCCTAGACCGGGTGGATCCCAGCCTTTACACACTCCCTCGCACTCTAGTGCAGTCCGGGCTGGAGAGGGGACCGCGGGCGCACAGAGTTTTCACCCTCATTTTCAGTCTCTGTCTCCCGGTGCACACCGTAATGTGAGGTACTTCCTAAGCAGCGGGAAGCCCGAGGCTAAGTGGGGATGCAGGAACTGGACTGCAGTATAAAATCCAGAAGCAGAACTAGAAGGTTTAGCCAATGACCCATTTCAAAGGTAAGAGAGCACAAGCCCTATCTACATAAGTAGAATCATGTTTCCAATATTATGGAACTGAGATCAGATCCTCTGAGCTACTGATTTTCATTAGCCACAACCCAATTAGCAATTAAGATAAAGAACACTATGTAATTAACTGTTCTCTTAAGTGTGTGAAAACCGGCGATGAATATTGTATTAATAGATGAGGCTAGGAAAAAAGATAACTGAGGGTGCAGAGTGGAACCAAAAAAAAACTGCGGGCTCTGAAGCCAGGCTTCCTGATTCTTTCTTTCTTTTTTTTTTTTTTGGTCTCTGTCACTTAACAGTGTGACTTGCTTTAGCTTCTTTATAAAAATAGGCACGCCAGTTTATCCCACCTGATTGCTGCTGTGCAGTTCAATAAACAGTATTTAACAGCGTGCCTGGCACATGGTTTATGCTCAATAAATGTTCGTTACTGTTATGATTAAAGCAAGAAACAATATAAGCAGTTTCATAAAAGCCTATTTTTAAAAACGAAAACGAGTTGAAACAAAAACCGACTACTCTGCCAAAATGAGAAAGAAGAGGAAAAACGTGAACAAAATTTATAAATCAGTTACACAGTAAAGTATTAACACTGGTTGTCTCTAGATGATGATACTATAAATGACTTAAGTGTTCATCTTTATGCTTTAATGTTTTGCAAGTATTCTTCAGTAAACAGGCTTCACTTTTGTAAGGTCAGTTATTTTTAAATTTTCAGTAGATGTGAACAAGACTAGTGAGGGCTTTCTTTTAAAAGAAGGTATTACACCTGAGGGGAGAAATCTAATATTGTCAAAAAATTAACAAGGATGTAATTTTTTTTTTAAAGAAGGTATTACTGAGTGTACTTATGTGCTGTAGGTGGAGGTGTAAATTGACAGTGCCTTTATGCAAAGCAGTTTGGCAGTATGTTCCAGAAGGCTTTGAAATGGATAATCCCACTTTGAAAATAATATACTTAATTTTTAAATTAAGTGCAGTTTTTGCATTCTTTCTTTGCCTTATAGATAAAGCACAATCTACAGTCTCTGAATTCCCCCTTCACTTGTTCCTATCCCACAGTAAAGATTTTGGGGCAAGGGCCTTCATTTTTTTACACTTACATATTCTATATAGATGCAGCCAGGCATTTGTAATTTTTTTAAATGGAAATAATATACTCTTTAATTTTGTGGCTCTGTTCACTTGATAATGTTTTTAGTGTTTATGTGTGACTTCTGCCTCATTTGTTTGACCTGCTGTTTAATGTTCCAGTGTATGATTGAATTGTTCTGTTAATGTAAACTATTTATCTTTGTCCCTTTCATTGGTTCTTTTACTAAATTCTGTTTGATGTGCACTGTACAGCACATTTTATTTGCCCTTCTCCTTTTAATGGACATTAGGTTGTTTCCAGTTTTTCACCTTAACATGCAGTGCTGCAAGCAAATCCTTTTTATGTATTATCCTGTATATATGTGCTATTTCTCAAGATATATACCTAAAAGTGGAATTGCATGGTTTTTAAATTACGAGTTTAACAGGTCTTCCCAAATTTGCTTCTAAAATACTTCTACAAATATACATGTCCCACAAGTAGTTTATGAATGTTCAATGTCCAAAAGTGTTGACTGAGATATATGTAAATAAATATAATTTCTTTTAAAAATTATCCATTTTTCTGTTGACTTATCTGTTTCTTAATAATTTTTAAGTAGTTCTGTGTTCTTGATACAGAAAAATGTCAGTGTCTTTTTATTACTTTTGTTAAAATATGTCACAAACCTTACCTAACTCTTGCTTGGCTTTTGACTTTGTTTTATTTTTGTTAATTTATACTATGGTATTTTTTTTCTCATTTACAATCTTTTGTTCTCTTTATTTCACTGTATTTCTCTAAGACTTGAGCAGTCACGGTGGCAAGTATCATTATCCTGTACCTGACTTCAGTGAAAATGCTTCTATTGTTTTATCATTATGATGTGTGCTGCTAGTTTTAGTAGATAGTCTTTACAGGATTTAAGAAGTTCTTTTTCCTAGTTTACTAAAGGTCCCTCTCTTCAACCTCCCCAGTAGTTGTTGACTTTCCCTACAATTTCGTTTTGTTTTTCTGCATCTGACTTGATAGTTTCTTTCATTTATTTGTTAAGGTAGAATCTACACTGATAAACTCTCCAATGTTAAGATTTTTTTGGTATTCCTGGAATAAACCATATTTGGTAATGTACTTTTACTCTATATCAGCATATTTTTACTTTTTTTGGCTTTCATACCCAGAAATGCGTTGGCCTTGAATTTCTTAGGTGTCAAGGTTATACTAATCTCAGAGAAAGTTGAATAGCCTCCCTTATTTTTTTCTTCTATGAAAAAATTTGAATATTGTAGAAATTATTCATTCCTTGAAAGTTGGTAGAATTCATCTTTAAAACTATAGAGATATGTTATACTGAAATTCGACATGGGGATGTGTGACATGCAGCTCTGGTAAGATCTTTACCTGTTTTAATTTCTTTTTTCCTTTTTTTTTTTTTAAGATTTATTTATTTATTTATATAAGCACTGGGTACAGTCAGAATCGCGGGAGGGTGAGAGAATTCACCAGAGCCAGAGCAGGGAACAGACCAGACAGATTGACGAAATACACTGCTGAGGGGAGCAGCGGGCTTGGCAGGAGAGGTTTGCTGCACCATGTGGGACCCTCGCCTATGGCCGGGGATCGAACCAGCGCTGCAGAGGTTGCAGGCAGCTTCACAGCCCAGCGCTCAACAGCTGGGCAACCAGAGGCGGCCCTTAATTTCTTTTTTAAACTTTAGTTGGGATTAACTTCTTGAGCCAGTTTGGTATTAAGTCAATTTCAATTAGGTATTTATGGTGAATTCTATTTTTGTTTGCTCTGTTTCTTACATTTGCTATTAGGTCTTTTCACATTCCTTCACTTCAAACTTTAATAACATTTTGTCTTTTAAATGAATCTCTTATTTTAAATATCTAGGTTTTTTGAAATATTTTAAAATAGCTAATTTTGCTTGCAATCTAATCTGAGGGGTCTCTTTAATAAGTAACTTTTTTTGTGGCTTCTCTTTATTATCTTATTTTTCCATTTTTCTTTTTAATCGAGGTTAGCCCCGAGTTTTCTTTGTCTTACTTGTTTTCCTAATAGATTGTCTTTACATTTTCAACACAGTTCTTAAATTTATACTTTCCTAATAAAGTTTAAATTTAATTAGTGTCAGTATTCTCCCTACAAAGAAGAACTTAGCGTACTTTCTCTGGTCTTGAAACAGTCACTTTATCCACCCCCCTCCAAAAAAATAATTTTCCATGGTTATGTCGTCTAGCATTTGTGTTTAGTTTGTTATTAAAACCTATTTTTAATTTGTATCTGGTATTAATGTGTTTTACTCATTTGCTTGCTATTGCTTCTTGTATCTTAGTACTTCCTTCTAGGTTAGTTTTTATTCATGAAATACATCTGTTTCTTCAGAGAGTTGCTGAGTAGCTTCTTGAATACTTTGTAAAGTATCATCTTTTTCTTATAGCCTCACTATCAAGAGATAGTTTGGCTAAAATAGTATCCTGGATTCAGACTTATTTTCCCTTAACATTTTGAATCTGACATTTCTAATGAGTAAGTCTGAATATCAGGCTAATATACATTCCTTTGAGATAATCTAGATTTTTTTTTTTTGAACCATCTTAGGTTTTTTTTCTTTATTCTTGATTTTCTGAAGCTTATTGACAGTTTGTCTGGTGGTGTGTAGTAAGAATTTTATCTTGCTTGATACTCAGTGAACTTCAGTGTTTTCCAGTTCTGAGAAATTCTTGGAAATTATTGCCGCCTCTTTGTTCTATTTTATTCCTCTGATTATTTCACTGAACTCTGCATTCTGAGTGAATCAGTGCAATCATCCATCTTACTAACTGGCTCTTCCTCCAAGTCTATGCTATTATTCAGTCATATATTGAATT